AGGTGAACCACTTATATTCCTAGTCGAACTAATCACAAATCGATAGTCTACAAAACCTTTCTTCTTAACACCATCCAACCTTAGTTGGGCTTGGATCACAAATTCTGACCACCATCAATAATATTAATGGAATCCTTTCAAAATTCAAACAGTTAATTATCTATTAATTTAAGAAAATTATCTATTAATTTAAGAAACCACTTATTCAATAAAACAGAATCCAAAAATAAGGAAATTATAAATTATTGCATAAAATAAGTAAAGGGCAATTACATACTAAAATATACAAATTTAAAACTATGTACCTGGTCACCAAATTTTAAGAGAATGTATGCTTAATGACTAAAAAATTTGGACTATGCACTTTAAAAAAAGAAAAAAAAATGTACTTTAAGAGGAATAAGTTCTAAAAAGTGTACCCTTCCCAATTTTTTCAATTAAAAAGCCCGTGACTAAATATAAAGCAAATTGGCAACCCGACCCATTATATAGCCCATCGATCTAGCGGTAGGAACTATGAACTTGGAAAATATTTAAAATATTTTATTTTATGCAACAACAATTTTAGTTTGTTAAAAAAACAGTATTTATTTAAGGCTCATTTAGAGCCCGTGAACGTTGAGGTCTTATTGGGCTAGTCCGCATGGGGAGGTCATAAGCCTAGATATTTCTGTTAGTTGGTTAGAATCCAACCAGTTGACTAAATCTCGTTTCCAACCCTTAAATGGGAGGAAGGAAAAATGGAGAGAAAAAGAATAATAAAAGTAGGATAGCTAAGTTCCACTAGAAAGCTCTACTCAAAACTCTTATTCCTTGTATTAGGCCTGTCGATACTCTCCTACGCTAGAGGCCGCTGGCTCTCTGTGGAAGGTCCCAATAGAAAGGAGTAGTCAACCAAATAATAGATAGTAAATGATTCGATTTGAAAATAAATGACTTGTTAGTCGTAGAATATTATTAGCGTCATACTTAAATCTAACGAAAATAACTAAGATTCGAACAATTTTTCTCCTTTCAGCAACGTAAATTAAGATAAATAAAAGTTTGATCCGCATTTTTATACCATTTAGGTATCATTGACCGAGAGAGGTGTTTTCCATTCTTCCCATGTAAATCATGAGGAATTTTTTTTTTTTTTACGATGATTTAGCTCTCGAACCTGTAAGTTTCTACGCTGAAAAGACAGGTCAATACTAATTCATGAAGTAAATAGGGAAGGTAGAAAGTCATGTAAACCTATAGGAGCTACAAGACGATAGGACAATGTTAGAGAATAGTCCGCTTAGAACTCAAAGACAAGTCAAAGGTAATTACACGAATTCAATACCAATAGAAGAGAGGATGCTATGACTTATCCCCACTACCCAATCATTTCCTTATTACATGAGAGAAGAAGCTAACAACAAGAAGGTTAAATCCTAACAAAAAGACCTCTTGCTTCGACTGCCTTGGGGGAAACCCACAAAGATTGTTGACGTTTGTAGACTAATCTATTCATTGTTAGGGCATTTCTTTCTGTGACCACCTTTCCTACCAAAAAGCTAACCCAACTAGATCTGGGTTTTTTTTTAAACTAGATGTGCGTGCAAGATCCTGTACAATATAAAAAACGAGAACAGATCTCTCCCTTGGTGAACTCGAGTGAGCCGGTTGAGTGACCAAACACGCTGCTTGGAACAGCCTGCAAGGTACGGTGGTAACCTGGTACGGCAATGGGAGATCCTGGGAACGGAAGAACGATCCAGTAAGGCTGAAAGAGGTTCCTGGAACAGAGAAGAACAAGTTAGAAGGGCGCCGGAGTGTTTTCCGGCGTATCCCCTCCGACGATCTAGTCAGTCTTTGAGAAAGAGAGAGGAAGGAGAAAACACTGAGAATGTATTGTAGTAAAGAGTTTGTTGTTGCATACCCGTCTTGCCTTTTGCAAGGAGTATTTATACCTCAAAAGCTCATGATTGCTGTCAGTGTAGTCAGTAGGTGATCATTAGGTACAGGCAGTGTGCGCACTGATTCTGATGAGGAATGTCTTCTCTTCTTAACTGCTCGGGGTCCCGAGCAATCAATGCTGGGTCATCGGGATGCCGACGGTACAATGTACTCCTCTCGGGGAGGATGCAATAAATGCTCTGTATTAGGAGCATTTATTGTCTTTCATTTCCGAGCCTTACCGCATTGAATGCGGTCTCATCAAGGGAATGGTGTAATTAATAGTTTGCTTTCCCAAGTCGCGTGTCAGCAACGGCATGCATTTTCTCTGTTTCGATGTGATATCATTTGCCACGCGTCCATCTCTTAATGGCTGTGACCCCTGCATTCCAGTACGTTCTGACACTAATTGTGTAAGACGAGGTCATGATGAATAGCCTAGACTAGCCTAGGCTAATGACCTGTACATCAATAGCTTATCCTGGAGCAGAGGGAGCGTCCAGGACGGGGTACCTCTCGGCACCGAGGAAAGGCTCATCTCGGGGACCGAGGGAGGTATGCCGACCGAGGTACATATCAGACCGAGACACGTGTCGGTTGTAAAACATACTGAATGCATGATCCTATATGACGAGTACCTCGGGGGCGAGGACCTTTGTGCGCCGATGGTGCTTGATCTTAGCAACAGTGTTTTAGTAACATCGAAGACACGTGTCATCATCATGGAGTATCTCAGAAAAGTCTCATCACTAGACCTTCGAGATTTTTGTAGGGTTCATACATGCATTGATCCAGTTGTAGAATCTGCTCCAGAGCAAGGAATGAATATCTCTTGATATTTCATAATGAATTATTGCAAAAGCACGTTCTGCCATCCATTCTAAGTTTAGGAACTTAGATAATAGTATCTTGATCAAACAACTAACAAAGGGGATGAGCAGAATAGGAAGTCTACTGGATACAATTCAACTATCTGAGATTCTTGGAATAACTGGAGTAAGAAGTCTTGAAGTGAGCATATCATGGGGAATTGCTAAGCAGTCTAATTCTAATTATTTAATACAATGATTAGTTTTAATTAATAAAGCATCCCTACACTTTCATTCATAAAAGGTCAAAGTTAAGACGAAAATTTTTTTTGACCGTTATCTAAAAGAAAGAATTCAAAGTCCTAGTGCTACTAAAAGAGAGACAGAGAGGGAAAGGACTCACTCTATGGTACTTCCTAAGGACTGCGTATATTCATTCCTAAAGGTAGGAGAAAGATGGCTACATATAATGCATTCTGATGGGGGCTAATTCCAATATTGAGTGATAGAAAGGTTCTTCACAGTTAGAACCAATCAATAAAATGAAATTCAATAATAGTAAACCTAGGGCAAAGCGATGAACATGATTCAAGAGTTTCTATACTAAGCCTTTTCTCTTCTTCACTCAAAGAGGCACTGTACCCTTTGAATGGTACTTGATTCATAAAGAATGCATCTTTTTTTTGGGTCGTATTGCGAAGATCTTCGATCCGAACCTTCACATCTACTCTCTCTTAAAGGATGAACCACACCTTCACTATTGCCCTTTGCTATTGCTCCTCACTATCGCTCAACTTCGCTATCGCATTGATTCTTGTCGGCTCTTCTAGATTCCAATTACTTCATTAATCATTATGTTCTATAATATTTAAAATTTATTTGAAATTAACTATTATTTTCTATATTCATATTAATTATGATATATATGATATAGGTAAGAACGATTATAATAGATGAAAAGAATAATTAATAGCTAAGATTCTTTTTTCTCCTAAGCTAGGGTAAAAGAGAAGGACTAGAGATAAAAAGATGTCTAATGGCTTACTTCTTTTGGAGCTCTTTCACAAAATCGATTCTTTACTCCCCTTTTAGGGAGTGTTCCGCCTGAGCTAAGTGCTACCCTATATAATAGCTAGGGTAGTTGGCTTTGCCTCTATCCTCAAGGACGGATAGGTATAAGTGTTAACTCAACGCTATAATTCGGAGCCATGTGCTCTATTCCTCTGAACTACAAGCGCCACCTCGTCTCCACTAGATCTGTTCTCAAGAGTACCCTCAAAAAATGAATCTTTCCTCTCCCCATTTCGAGATGACCGGATAGGACTGATTTACTTAAGACCAGAATTCTAACTTAGCAATAGCGATAGCGTGTTAGACTTTCTATCAGACTATTGACTGAATGAAGTGTTTAGAGCAATTAAAAAGTTTGTCATACACTGAAAAGACATGTACAGAAGATAATGAACAATTGATACCCTTTAATGATCCATATTTCTTATGCTAACTTTGGGTCCAACCATTACTCCGGGACCGTAAACCACATTTTTTGCATTTTATGATGCTAACTGGGCTAGCTACCTAGATAGCAGATGGTCCACTGTGGGCTTCTAAATTTATGAACAGAGGACAGAGTCTTAAGCTACAAAGAAAACTCTTTGTTATGTCTTTCAGGTTATAAGGCGTAGGGAGTTGGCGAGTCAGTCTATTGAGCTGCTTCCTACTTAGAATAAGTAATTATCATCGATCAACCCTACATTCGAATTTTGCTGATAACATCCCCGGGTCTTGAACTGACAAGAATACAGGTTTTGGTATCCAAAGTGAAACAAATACCNGGAGTTGGCGAGTCAGTCTATTGAGCTGCTTCCTACTTAGAATAAGTAATTATCATCAATCAACCCTACGTTCGAATTTTGCTTATAACATCCCCGGGTCTTGAACTGACAAGAATACAGGTTTTGGTATCCAAAGTGAAACAAATACTTGTTTCAATTTTGAGTGGGGTAATCTGTCCCCTCTCTAGCCGTCTTTACATCTGCCTATGTTATATGGCAAACTCTAGTTAGATTCAAGCATGCTACACTTTAGTCATTGGAGAACCCAATACTCTCTTTTAGATTTGATAGCTACATCATTTGAGATGGAGATAAAGACGTGGTATAAAACTTTCGACAAGTATAGTTTCATGGATTTTTTGAGGCCTAGATTTGATCAAATTACGACTAATATCTACAATAAATAGCATCATTTCTTGTGTTGAGTTGAACTTCTGCAGTCACAGCATCTAAACAAAAAAAGAGGGGAAAAATGGTAAAAGCCATTTATCGTCCAACAGGTACAGAGGCTCTAACACTACTTCAAACATGGTAAATGCTATTCTATCCTTTATCACCTCTGCTCCACTATTGTTCTATAATAAACCAGTACCAACATGAGAGAGCAAAAACAAGGGCTGCTACCAGCCTTACACAGAACCCCATGCCCATGCCCATGTCCCATTAAATCTCCTTATTCTACATTTATAAACAAGGAATTTTTGTTTATTTTTATTTTTATTTTTTTGTTTGAGTGAGGGAGTCGAGGTTTACTTTCTACAGTATTAATTGGTTCTTCATAGAGAGTAGTGTTAAATTTCTGCGGACCAGAGTACTGTGGGTGGATACCCTCCTGCTTTACTGCTACAGGTGATCTTGGCAAATTCCATGGACAATCCTGGACGGAGAGTGTGGATATTGATTTGACTGCACCAAGAGATGCAAGGAACTGTTCATGACCTAACGGCTTCATGAACGTCAACTCATCGTCTCGTCTCCCATGGCAGCTAATGCACTGCATCTTCCTCCTCTGCACCTCATCCTTAATTCTCTGATATGATTTAAAAGAAACAATAGAAGATTAGCAGAATGACATGTATTTGGAAAATACACTTGTGGACTATAGTAAGAATCAAGTAAACTATTGTGGAAACAATAAGATAGAAGGGCTCAATTGACACAATTAGAGAGTTCAGGGGCTCAATTGACCAAAAAAAAAGTTGAGTTTAATTGACACATGANAGTCATTGGAGAACCCAATACTCTCTTTTAGATTTGATAGCTACATCATTTGAGATGGAGATAAAGACGTGGTATAAAACTTTCGACAAGTATAGTTTCATGGATTTTTTGAGGCCTAGATTTGATCAAATTACGACTAATATCTACAATAAATAGCATCATTTCTTGTGTTGAGTTGAACTTCTGCAGTCACAGCATCTAAACAAAAAAAGAGGGGAAAAATGGTAAAAGCCATTTATCGTCCAACAGGTACAGAGGCTCTAACACTACTTCAAACATGGTAAATGCTATTCTATCCTTTATCACCTCTGCTCCACTATTGTTCTATAATAAACCAGTACCAACATGAGAGAGCAAAAACAAGGGCTGCTACCAGCCTTACACAGAACCCCATGCCCATGCCCATGTCCCATTAAATCTCCTTATTCTACATTTATAAACAAGGAATTTTTGTTTATTTTTATTTTTATTTTTTTGTTTGTGAGTGAGGGAGTCGAGGTTTACTTTCTACTGTATTAATTGGTTCTTCATAGAGAGTAGTGTTAAATTTCTGCGGACCAGTGTACTGTGGGTGGATACCCTCCTGCTTTACTGCTACAGGTGATCTTGGCAAATTCCATGGACAATCCTGGACGGAGAGTGTGGATATTGATTTGACTGCACCAAGAGATGCAAGGAACTGTTCATGACCTAACGGCTTCATGAACGTCAACTCATCGTCTCGTCTCCCATGGCAGCTAATGCACTGCATCTTCCTCCTCTGCACCTCATCCTTAATTCTCTGATATGATTTAAAAGAAACAATAGAAGATTAGCAGAATGACATGTATTTGGAAAATACACTTGTGGACTATAGTAAGAATCAAGTAAACTATTGTGGAAACAATAAGATAGAAGGGCTCAATTGACACAATTAGAGAGTTCAGGGGCTCAATTGACCAAAAAAAAAGTTTAGAGTTTAATTGACACATGGGACATAGTTTGAGAGTCATACTCTAGAACATTTTAAAACGGGAATTGTTAAAATTTCCTCAAGCACTAAACTTCAATAAGGAAGATGTTTATGAAGAAGAAATGAAACAGTCCCAATAGGTTATTACAATACATATTTCAATACAAGTATCAAAGATTCCACTTCTATAGAGAAATCAAACAATTAAAAACTTCATTATTCTTCCCTTGCCACAATTAAGGACATGACTCTGAAGAAGAAAATCACATGTCAGAGTATTATTCCATTTGGAAACAATTGCCAAGACTTGGTGCCTGGAAAAGTAGCTGATATGTAACTGTAAACTTTATCATCTGGCTGATGGAGTTTTTAGCCATTAAAGGATCATGATCACTAAAAATGAAAATGCAATAACCAGAATAATTGGATGAAAGTGGAGAAGAGCACCACATCACAAAACCTGCAAGTCCTATGGCTTCACCTATCCTTTACATGCAGTCAATTCTTAAAAGTGAATAACCAGATCTAGTAGTATCAATAAAGAAGACACAGAGTCAACCTTGGAACATTCTGTTTTCTTTTTCATTACAACAATTATAATTAATTTCAATCAACATAACAAAAGAAATTGGATTAACTGTGCAAAACTCAAAATCAAACACAACAATGATAAGCTGGATATTCAGTGCAAGTGATAAGGATTACATGTACACTCCAGTAAATAAAAGGATCAAGTTAATGCACTGTGCAAAGTCAAGAGCTGATTCTGTTTGTAGATCAATAACAATGCAGAGGCTATGGTCACTACCTCTTGTGAAAGGGAGTGCTGTTGACATCCATTGCATGCAATCGTCTTCCTATCATAGTTCACTCCTTTTAGAGGAGGTGTAGGCCTAAGGTATACATAAGTTACTATAGCCTACTCTGGAACGTTTTATTACATCACCGGACAAGTTTTCAATACAACAGAACTCTGTACATAGCTCCACTGCAGCTTATCACCTTAGCTCCTATGCACTATGCTGTCAATACTAGAAATATCTCTTCCTCCAAGGCACTACTCTTTTTTACTAACCCCCCTTGATTTCATTTCACCACTGACTATGAAATTTGACTCTATCTCAGCAAACAAAATCTGCCAGATTTCTAAAACTTGAGGCAAAAGATTCCTAAACAAATTCCAAAACACCAACACAATACAGAAAAGATAGCAGGACCAACTCATTCAGCAACAGTATGGCGATAAAGATATTAATTGCAGCATACAGATTAGCAAAAATTCGATGCAATGGAGGAGTCAGTGGCTACACAAACCTGTAATAACCTCAAATCGAATTTGGAAAGCCCAATTTGTCCCACATTCAGCGACCCAAAGAAATTCCCCAGCAATGCAGCGTCCGGCACCGCCAACCCTTGCACCAACCCAGCCACAAACCCACCTAAAAAACTATCTCGGGGCACCTGTCGGATCAACCTGAACCGTCACAAATGGCTCAATATGAACCTCCCCATCCTTCCAATACACAGTGCACCCATCCTTGCCATTGGTCACCACCACACAACACCACTTCCTCGCCTCCTCCACATCCACATACGGAGCTTCCTCCGCCGACGCCTTCAGAAATCCAATTCTTGGCAGTAAATGAAAAAACCCACTTTCCTTCAACCCAACAAGCCTCACTGTTCCATCAACACAATCGAATTCACGAATTAGGGCTTGAATATCAACAAATACGGATCTACATATATCAAGCATTTTCTCTAGGGTTTCTGGCAAAATTTATCCGGCAACCCCAACGGCCATGCCGNCGCCTCCTCCACATCCACATACGGAGCTTCCTCCGCCGACGCCTTCAGAAATCCAATTCTTGGCAGTAAATGAAAAAACCCACTTTCCTTCAACCCAACAAGCCTCACTGTTCCATCAACACAATCGAATTCACGAATTAGGGCTTGAATATCAACAAACACGGATCTACATATATCAAGCATTTTCTCTAGGGTTTCTGGCAAAATTTATCCGGCAACCCCAACGGCCATGCCAAAATCAAATTCCGATTCAGGGAGTTCCGAGGGTAAAATTGGGTCGCAAGAGCAGAGCCGTTTGAGGATCCTATCTTCGGGTCTGATTTCGCAGGGTTCGGATGAGAAATGAGCGTGAAAAAGAGTGGTTTTCGAAGTGGGTGAGATGATTGGGGGGGTGATTAACTGCCTAGGCAAAGTCTGGTCCGACTTTAGAGATGTAATCGGAGGGGATTGAGAGGCCGTCGAGCACGGCGGCGATAAACGACGCCGCACCCCCAATGGATTCGGCCATTACGACGTCTTCTTTGATCAAGACGTCGTGGCAGTAGTTCCCGACAATTAGGCCACGGCCAATGGAGACAGACGGGTCTTGAATTCCGATCACCATATGTGGTTTTGGAGGCGAATACGACGTCGCTCGTGTCTTGATGAACGATGAAGGTGGTGTTGGTGCAATTTGTATCTCGGGATCATGAGTGCACGCTCCGCTCGAATGAGTTAGGAATGTGGTTTGTGAGAAGCCATGAAAGCAGCAGAGACAGAGAGGTCACAGAAACCCTGAAGAGAGAAACGAGGCAGAAACGAAGAGGACAAAATGGCAGTGTCTTGGCATATGAAGAGGGTTCAAGAAGAGGCGACGCGGGGCAAATACGAATGTAGGCTGCATTTTGTAGCAAACGCCAGATGTGAATTTTTGGAATGCTCTGCTTTTCTGAAATGGCAGTGTACAACTGTACATAGTTTCTTCTTTTTCCTTACCAGCCTCAGCAACCTCTCCAAATAGACTCAATTTGTTTCCATCAATACAAACGAGATATTAATTTAATAACAAAATTCAAAAGAGTAATGCAATTGGATCTAATTTATTTTATTGATATAATTTGTTAACCTAATTCACTGTAACCTTTGAATTTACTATGAGACTCATCAAATATTAAAAATTATTGTTGATCCAATGATTATGCTGAAATCACATTATTATGTCAGCAAATTAGGTCAAATTTTTAGGTTCAAATAATATTACTCAATTCAAAAATTATATCTATATAATAAAATATAAAATATTTTAAAACTCAAGATATAAAAAACTATTTTAAACACGAATAACTCGGTTCGATTAATATTATAATTAAAAAATGGACATTAGTTTTTTTTCAATTCTTAATCTTATATTGCATAGATTATCAAAAAATAAAATATTTGTTTTATTAATATGATCACGACATAAATTAAAATGACACAACGTGTATGTATGAATCTAACCCTAAAAGTTTCGGATCATAATTGAGTAAATTAATTAGATATAATTTAATGTTAAAACAAGTTAACAATATCAAAAGTTTTTTTGAACAATACAATTTTTTAGGGATGTCATTTTACAACTTTATAAGGTGATAGGGATCGATCTCAATAATTCAGGAGCAATCCCAAACATGTGATCAATCATAAGTTTTTGGAATCAATTCCAAACACTCCAAAAATGTTGTAATGGACTCCACTCTAGAGGGGGAGAGAGGGGGGA